AAAGCAGTGGTGGGCAAATACTGGCCCATGTGTCTGAATCGGTTACTCAGTGTGAGTCCCAGTGGGCTGCCTCTGCTGTATTTACTACACCACTGCAGGTATGGGTGACTGCAGTTACCACTGGCCAGATATCACCGCTCCCAGCCAATGCAAGCTGTGGGAAGCAGTGTCCTGGTCTGCGCCATCGGGAGCTGCAATTGCCCAAACCTATGGAGATGCAAATAAATGTAGTGGTGGAAGCCTGATGGAGCTATCCCAGGTGAACCACCAGCACTTTTTTGCCCATCCCTGTATAAAAGGATGTACCTTGTTCATTAATATAAAGCATCTGTGAAATGCAAACAGAAGACTATTGCTTACATATAATAAGATTTTTATCATATATATATTTCACTCTCCATGAAATAGAACAAGCTTCGCCTACAAATATTTATACTGCTTCATCACATTCCTGAACAAAAGCTGCCAAGTTATGGATGAACGTGTATATTGTAATTTCAAACTGTAGTCTGTGAGGAATTGTGGAAAAGAGGAAATGTATCACCTAGTTTCTTCTTTACACTGTCTTTATTGTGTTACTCTCAATATCAACAAAATATTTCTTAAATCAAACTTTTGGAACCTAAAAGTTGAATGCAACAGAGGTGTTTATAATCAAAACTTTGTTCTAATTTAGTCTTTTGCCTTTAAAGCAAAGAATATAGGTATTTTGCAGCGCTGAACCAGGACTGACCCCATTATGGAAGGAAAGCAGTATCAGGACAGCCAATTAGATTTGGGCCTGCAATGTGATATGGTAGCCAAGGAAGACCAGCATGACACTGAGCTGGCAATTGAATTACAGACTAAGGCAGTGCTCATTCATTTGTATAAAACACTGATGAGACTGGACCCTTGACTTCTGCATCCAATTTTGGGCACTTCAATGCTGGAAAGATGGCAGCAATTTGGAAGAAGTTCAGAGAAGTGCATCAAAATTACTAAGACTAGGGCTCAATTTAAGAGGAAAATTAAAAAAACAAAAATCTGTACAGTTTACCAAATTACTGCTACAGAGGCATATGCTAAATGGGTAGAAGGATTAAATGTGTAGGGGATGTTTAAGGAGGTGTAACAAGGACTACTAAGATGAAACTAAGTAAAGGACAACGTCACTCACATTGGAAGGACACTTTTCCTCATACTCAGACTAGCAAACTATGGAATTACACTTGAAAGGAATCAGTAATAGCCCCATCACTCAAGTCACCTCAATATGATATTGGAAACATTCATGCACTGGCAGGAAATAAACTAAGTAACCTACTAAGTATGTCACATCTCCAGTTTCCATGATCTTTTGCAGATCAGTTATTATTCTTTCCGTATAACAACACCCACAAGAGAGAAGAAGCTTGCCTTATCTTTCTCCTCACCATATCAGTATATAATTTTTGACTAAACTACAGTTTTATTGAGTATAGTGGCAATTTTCCTGATCATATTTAAAAGATACCGCGGCATTAGCTAGAGAGTGCATACTCTTCAGATTCTTGCTCTTCTTCTATCAAGCAATAAATAATTTCTGAGGTAGCACCCATGCTAGCTCCTCCCCATGGTGGGGTCTCTGCTCCTCAGATGGAATGCTGACGATCCCCAGCAATTTAACCCCATTTAACCTCCACTCACTAGTTCCACCAACCTCTGAGGAGGACTGGAAGTGACTCCTTTTAGAGCCCCTCAATGCTTCTCCTTAAATTGGCCAGTGGGGGTCACTGTTCTTGAATGACACAAGGCTCCATCCCTCCCAGGGTTGAGGCTGCAGCTCTGGAGTACTCCTAGCTCCTGCTCATGGAGTGAGAAGCAGAATCCAAGAATTAAACCCTAGTCTATTGCATGGCAGCACATACTGCTCTGGGCTAGTTACAGTAGCACATATTTGAGTAGCTTATTTAAATAAAGATTTAGGCTATAGTCACTCTTACTAATTTACTCTGTGATTAGAAACAACATGTTGAATGTGTAGTGATGGCAAAGTATCTTTGCAATGAAGCTTTATAAATAAAGCAGTGGATGTTTTACATATGTGATAAAATTAATCATTTAATAATATAATCATAACAGCAGCTTACATGTATTTAGTGCCTTTCATACCAAAAAATTCCTAATTGAACCCAAATTTACATTTTTATATTATGAATATATAATATATGAAAATGAACAGTACAATAAGACTATGTTACTGCTTGTGAAATTCGATTCACTTAATTTAAGTTGTCCTCACATTTTCAATTTGCCATAATTTCTGTATTGCTAAGTTTTCACAAGAAAGCAGCTCCTGGTTTTGACAATTTGACACTAGTTGTGATGACTTTTGGTACTCGGGAGTATCTTTGGATACTGGGGTGAAGATGCAGCTCTCTTTCCTTTTCCTTTGTGAATGGAGTTGGAGGTGACTATTTTGAGGGGTTTGAATTCTTGGTTTCCCAGTACAGCCACCATTAACAATTCCCTACCTCAGTGCATCCCACCCCAGTATTTGTGACTATGCTCAATGAAGGATAGGCACATCAAGCTTGATATTTCAGCTAGCATGATGGGCAGTGAGAAAGTTGTCATTTAAATTAGATTTCGGGCTTATCGCTCCCTTGAGATGATTGAGGAGTTTAAATTTCTCAGTTTTGGTTGCTCTTTAGGTTGACTATCTGTTCTTGTTTGTTTAGCCATTATGGCTGAGAGAAAATCCTCAGCTGACTTACACATCCCCATTCCTTTAAAATTAATGGAATTGTTGAGTCTTCAATAAGTCTTTAGGGCTATGTCTACACTGGAAAATTATTTTGAAATAAGTTATTTTGAAATAATAACTCCCAAAATAACTATTTTGATATAAATGTTATTCCTCGTCACAAGCAGGAGTTATTATTTTAAAACAACGGGCGAGTTGTGTGGACACTTGACTTGTTATTTTGAAATAAGGGGAGTTATTTCAAAATCACTCCCTGGTGAAGACATGCCCTGGGTGTCCTACATGGTTCTGCTAGCACATCACTATTCTGTCTGGTGTCACAGAGGTGTTGTTCTGGCACATGCAGGAAGTTCTCATTTAGAACTAAAATGGTTATTGGATGTGTTGCAGTGGCTTTGGCAAGCAATCCTGGAACTTAACCCTATGAAGGGCAAGTTCTTCTAGAAGGGAATAGTCTGTATGGGTCATCTCTGCCAACGTAGGAAAGTGATTGAAATGCTAGGGCCTGGAATCTTGGCAATCTGCCGGCTACAGGAATACCATTGTGCAAGAAGTTCATCACTGTCCATTGTATAAGTGGCGAGGAGCAGTGTGGCACCTTATAGACTAACTGAAGTATTGGAGCATAAGCTTTCGTGGGCAAAGACCCACTTCGTCAGATGCATCTGATGTGGTCTTTGCCCATGAAAGCTTATGCTCCGACACTTCGGTTAGTCTATAAGGTGCCACAGGACTCCTCGCCGCTTTTGCAGATTCAGACTAACACGCCTACCCCTCGGATACTGTTCATTGTATAGTTTGACATAGAAGGGATCAGTAGTCTGGTGGAGATCTCAGTGCAGTCAGGCTTTCCAGAAGCTGAAGGAGAATCTGATCAGAAAGCCATTCAGAGTGTATCTAGAATGAGTTGTTCTTTTACAACAGGCAAAGCTGCCAGTGAGAGATAAGAGCTGTGCTCTCCCAAGAGGAAATTAGTGAGAATCGACAGTGGTCTTCTATAGCCAGATTGTCAGAAAACTGGAATGAAACTACTATGATCTTCCCACAGGGAATTACTGGCAGAGTTATTTCTTTCTTAATGTAGGCATCACTGTATAAAGGGTTCATAATTTCTACAAACTCTGTCAAACTTCAGGCAACCCAAAGAACAGAAACCTTATAGGCTGGATAAACTGAAGTACTTTAAGTGGGTTGTGCCCACGAAAGCTCGTGATACCATCTATATGTTTTGTTAGTCTTTAAGGTTCTACTAGACTGTTTGTTGTTAAGTTTTTCAACTCTAGGGTACAGCATCAACCAGTGCCCCAGCATGGAAATACAGCCCCCTTGTCTCTCTCTGCCTGTGCTTGTAGATGATTGTCAATATTGTCACTGCCGGAAGAATTGATCAGAATGGAAGCAAGTGGAGGAGACAGGATCTGCAGGGAGAAGGACACTTAGGCCAATAGTCTTTCAAGTAGTGTACTGACAACATTTTTGTTAACCCGATGACTTTGGACAGAGTCCTGGCAGGGTTTATGCAGGAAGTGTCAGACCCAGTGTGATTTTAAGACAGAAACTGGGACAGAAGCACAGCATTCACTAGAACCTGGGGAATTGACTGCATCCTCCAGGAGAGAGGTTTTTGCTGGGTGGAGCTGTGTTCCTGGAGAAAAAGAAAAACCTCATATTAACCCATATTTGTCTGCATATGAGTTCACCATTAGGGTCCTTCAGAGAAATGATGTGGAGGAAAAAGGGACAGGCGCTGTTGCTGCTTAGTGGAGTCACTTGGAGACAGAAGGTGAATTCATCTAATTTCTGTCAGCTAATGACAACAGGAAAAAAGAAGTCCCTCACCTTCAACATCTGAAGAATTGTTTAACTCCTAGCTGTTTATTTCCAAAGAGGAGAGAAAAAGACAGGACTAGCCACAGAGAAAGCCTTGACAAACAGGGACTTCAGTTTACTGTCAAACTGTAGCCTGAAATTACATCATGTATGAAGTGAGGGCATTGTATTGAGAATGAATGCATATAAGGGTAAAGGAAAAGTAGGGTTTTTCACTTCCCCACTGCACGTAAGTGAAGGCAAATGTAATACATTTCACCTTTGCTATTGACCAGTTTGCTTGTGAATAACTAAAAGTGAGATTGTTGCAACCTATAGAGAATACAGGCTCTTCTGAAATGAAGATCCTTGCCTGTATTATTTTAAAGAAACATGGTCTCATCTCATTCATTCACACACCCTAGACACTTCATTTATATTTAGGTGAATGTATTTAATTTAAAGAAAAAGATGTGAATAGGTTTAACCAGAATGTCCTACATCTGAAAATATATTACAGTCTGTCTTTGCTACGTAGTATTATTTTTTCTATAAAAGACAAAAAAAAATTGAAAATGTTCTCTATGAAATACCAATATTATTGGATTTATTGGATTAGATGTACAACAATCATTACCATAAATGAGAGTTGCACTATAATAATTTTTTAATTAATGAGATATGCTTTGTGCCACCAGAATAGCAGATAAGCTGCTAGAGTTGTGGTGAAAATTTGTCCTTGGATGAAGTATCCTCATGAAAAGTTTGATTTGACTGGGAAAAAATATTAACTTAATATACTAAAGCCAAAAACTGTAGAAATCTAGTAGTTTGTTCAACCAGTTGTTGAATCAGACTATTTCACAAGTTATTAGTGTTATTTCTAGATATTCCACTCATCCTTTTTACCTAAAAAGTCAGGCTTTATGGGAGCCACCTTTTAGGTGGTTATAAATGTCATAATTTTTTTTAGGATCCACAAAAGACCCTTTCTTGTATGTTGATTAAAAAATACAATAAAATTCACTGCATGCTATTCTCAAGTCACTGTATTATAGTTCCCATATTGTCAAATTCATTTCACTAGCTTTAAAATGCATATGCTACCCTCTCTAGAGATGAGAGACAGTTAGTTCACTCATAGTCTGGGGCCTGATACTGATTAAGACAACAAACTTAACACTGGTATGAGGAAATACTATTTTGCATGCTGCATAATGGACTCCTGGAACTATTGCCACAAGATGCCACTGAGATCAAGATCTTACTATGGTTCAAAAAAGAATTAGCTGTTAACATGAACCACAAGATCATTAATAGTTACACATAACAAGATAAAAATTTGTAAGGAGCAGCAGTTCATCTGCTTCAGCATAAGCCAACTGCTAACTGACAGAGGTTATAAAGAAACAAGTTCTACTCTCGGGTCATTCCATGCTTGTCCAGCGTGGGGTTTCTCGCAGTTTCCACAGAAGCATCTGACTCAGGTCACTCAGTGCTGGAGACAGGATAGTAGTCTAGAGAGATCACTGCTCTGGTTTGGTCTATGCTCCTGTTATGACTCAGGTTAATGTGTTCATTTGCCCTATGATGGACAGAGGGTTGAAAGAATCTATCAGATCTGCTACTACTGATAACCAAAAGCCCAACCCAATCCAACTGAAGGCAGTGAAAGACTCCCATTGAACTGAATGGGACTTGGACCACACCTCCCAAAATTATTCTTAAGCCCATCAACTGGTTGAAGATCATTCAGCTGCAGCACAGATTCCTCACTGTTCACCTCTATTGTCCCTGTATCTACATTACATTGTTTAAGGCCTCTTCAAGTGTGTGATAAATTTGGCTCAAGAATACAATAAGATTTTAGGCACAGCTTAAAGTTTTGTAAGTGATTCAGGCCTAAATGGAAAATGAGACTTACAGGTACCTGACTTGACAGACTCAGGTTTGCAGCTGCTGTTTTTTTCTTGCTATTGGTACTATTTGCATTGTTTCCAGCACTGCTGTTTGAAGTGCTGCTAGTTGAATTTTTCCTTTTTCTCCGTTTGGTTGTTGGTTGTCTTGTGGGTTCTGCTAAAATAAAAATGGAAAAGGCAAAGCACATTACAGGCATTTTAAAGCTCACAGAAGAATTAACTACAAAGAGACATGCTAAAAATGTATTTCTTTTCATCTGTCTTACATCATTGTCCATCAATGCATCTCAAAGTGCTTTACAAAGAAACACTTTAGTTAGAGAACACTGAGGCACCAACAGGTGAAGTGACATGCTAAAGGTTAGATAGCAGGCCAGGCATAGAGCTCAGAACCAAACTCAACTGTCCTTTTTCTAAGCCCATTGCACTATCCTTTGGACTATCTGCCTATGTCAAACATGTTTAACAGATAAGGGCAGCTTTCTACAATCCTGTCAGCATTCAAATGAAAGTCTGCATCATTTTCTACTGCTCCAGTCATGGACGTCACCTTTGGTGGACCCATACTGTAGAATATACAACCTGTGCTAAATTATGGCCCTCTACTAGTTTACCAAATATGTACCAAGTCACAATTATTACATTCAGTTGATTTATGACCTTTGATCACAAAATCCCAAAGGTGATAATGGCACAGCTCATCTAAATTGTGATAAGTGCATCTACAACTTTCAATGTTTTTAAAATAAAGGTTATTTTTGTGTTTGTGATCAAGGAAGTTAATTTCAGGCCTGAAGATAAATTGTATTAGAATAGAAGACTATTAATTGTAACTTGAAACTGTAGTTCCAGAGTTACAGCGGGAAGCTATAATATGTAAACCAGGAGTGGGGAGCTGCATGTGATTCATCAGGGTTAGCTGCAGGTGGACCGCCGTTACACCGTTTGTTTACTTGATCGCCCATAGGCACAGCCACTTGCTGTTCCCAGGGGCCATGATCTGCTGCAGCCACTGGAAGCTATGAGCGGCCATGCCTGTGGACCCTCAGGTAACAAACCATTTGGCAGCCTTGATGAACCGCATGAGGTTTGTGGGCTGGAGGTTTCCCACCCTTGATATGAGTGAGCTATGAATTCTAATTGGAGCCAGTGGGCATTTTACATACTATGTATGACTTATGCTGAATTCTATCTTACACATTGTAAAACTATTTGAATGTGTGTAGATCTAAAACTTATTCCATGTTATGTACCAGCAGATTCAGATTACTTGTATTAAAATAATATCTAAGGTTATGTTTAGAATAATGCTTAAATTTCCTTTCCTAATGGATTATCCACAATGTTTTTCAGTATTTCTATATTAATATCAATAACAAGTGCAATAAAAATATAGAGAAAAAATTACCTGGTGGTGCCACCATTCTCTGCCATTTTTGAAATAAGCAGGTCTTCAGGCAGTCCCGAGGACTTAGATTGTAGGTTTTATGTCTTGACATCAGTTCTTGCATTGGCTCCAATATTACACACAACTGAAAGAAACAAAACAGAATAAATTAAGCTAAATTATTTTTAGATTAAAGGTATTCACAGAGTCTGAAACTAATCATTACTTTTCTGGTTTCTAGTTTTGACTTTTTCTGCTCAGCTAACGAAGAGTGTCCAATGCAGCACAGTTTGATCTGCATTAAGACCAGTATAGATTTGGCCTTTAGGACCTCTCTCCTCCTTTCCTGATGTCACTGGTAATTATACGTTCCATGGTCACTGGCTCTTCCACTGCACTGCACATAAGTCTATCTAGAGGTCTCAAAAGGTCCACAACCTTTGCACACAGCAGGTATATTCTGTATGGTTCAGTCATCACAAATGCCACCATCCATATTTCTAATAACTGAATCTTCCATTCATATTACCTTGTCTCTTCTTAATAACTGGAGTCACCTTGCCATGAGGGATATCCTCAGTGAGAGAGGATAGCATGACATCATATGGAAAGAGGTTCCCAAATATGGGATCATCTTCCTCTATGCCAATTTGATGTCCTTCTCTATGACTTTCATTGTCCTCAATAGTACTAGGGCGATCAGACTTGAGGTGGGACCACTCTACTGTGTCCTGGAAAGTGTTGGCTATGTACCTCTCTGGCTCCTTTAGCTCCTCCAGTTCAGGTTTCAAGAACCCATACTCAGTTTTTGAGGGGGCAATGAGTTCCATGCACCAACAGTAAACATATACTACCTGACCACAAGACAGGTAATCATCCGTGTTGCACTCAGTGCAATAAACTGGATAGCATCTCCTTACTGCTAGAGATGCACAAAGAAAATTTTTTCTGTGTCACATGGGTTTATGCTGCCCATATTGTAATTAGGGGAAAATATACTGTCATTGCTATATATAGAATAGTGATAGAGATGTAGCCGTGTTAGTCTGGTGTAGCTGAAACAAAATACAGGACTATGTAGCACTTTAAAGACTAACAAGATGGTTTATTAGATGATGAGCTTTCGTGGGCCAGACCCACTTCCTCAGATCAAATAATGGAAGAAAATAGTCACAACCAGCTACACCAGACTAACACGGCTACATCTCTATCTATTTTCTTCCATTATTTGATCTGAGGAAGTGGGTCTGGCCCACGAAAGCTCATCATCTAATAAACCATCTTGTTAGTCTTTAAAGTGCTACATATTGCTATATATAGATCTCTTAAATGATAATCCCATATGTAATTTCACAAAAGAAATTATAACCGTATAAGAAACACAGAAGGTAGAGATGCCTGCAGGATTGGTCATCTGCACAAGCATTCAAAGTGATTCTTGTTGCTAACTCTCAGTCTATTCTGAAGCACTCTTCTAGTTCTGGAATCAAGAAATTCGAATCCATTTTTCTCTCTAGAGCTTTAAACCCTGCAAAGCATAAAGATGCCCCAGATTTTTGCAGGTAACAGTCAGTTCTGGATACCTCAGGACTAACAGGGAACTGTGCTCTGCAGTGACAAGTTCATTTTAAATGCATCTAGCTCACTGTGAATTGGACACAGATGTAAAAGGAATGCGATTAAGAGTGATTGATATTAAACCTTTCAGTCTTTCTTGGTGACCTTTGAGACCCCTTTGAAATCTAAAGTGACTCAAAGAACAAATCCCTGAAAGAGGAAGGGATCATGGTCCAATTATCCTAAGTCTGAAGAATCTGCCAGCAACAATCAGTACCTTGGTCCTTGCAAAGAGCTGGATTTAAAATATAAGGACAAGATTCATTTATACAGAAGCAGTTGCAAACCTAAAGCACCTGCCACTCTTAACTACCAGTGTCTATTCTAAATGGCAGTGCATTTTATGAAGTGATTTTGTCAAATAATTGTGAAGAAATGTTTGATATTCCCCTGATTTTATCAGATAATCTCATTCTTTTAACTGTCTTTTAAAAATATTCACTTTCTACAAAAGTTTGGATAATTTAAAAGTTAACATGCTTTACCTAATTAACATTATACTAATACTTAATAATAATACATAATTATCTATTGCTACTAGGCACTATGGAGAGAGAAAAAAAGAATCACAGAAAGATGGAAAGACAGAGTGACAAAGAAAAACAAAGATAAGATCATGTTGGATTTGTTTAACGTGCACGTATCTTCAAGGCTCTGCTTTAAAAAAACATTTTTCTTAGAAGGCTAATGTCTACGGGGATCAGAGAAAGAACAGTGTTCTAAGGAGAGACTTGGAGACATAGTAGATAGGGTCAAGAAAGGTTTCAAGTGTTTGGGGCAGTATGAAGCTCTTATCTTTCAATTATCAGTTAGAGTTGGCGACATACGCCAAAATTTGCTTTTATGGAATGATCCAAATCCAGTCCTGGAGGTTCGTTGTAGTTACACCAAGAATGGATTTGATCCCACAATTTCTGTTCTAGCATGAATTTTCTATATTCATTTCAGAACATCAATGCATTTTGATAGCACCATAGTTTAGAAGAAAGGGCTAGTAGAAAAGTTCTCTTTCATACTACAGGTTGGACCTTTCTTGGTCCAACACCCTTGGGACCTGATCAGTCCTGGATAAGGGATTTTGCTGGACCAGGGAAGGTCATTTCTGGGCCCCTCCCTGCCCCACAAGCATGGCCTCGCTGCCAGCCTCCTAGCTGGCTTCCCCCTGCCTCTGGACCCTTCTCATACAAGGCTCCTGGCAGCCCTGCCACTGGCATGCACTGTCCCACTGCCGGGTTTCATCCCTGTGAGGCAGCCCCCCTCCTGGGGTTCAATTGTGCGATCAGGCAACAAGCCCTGCTTTGGCGTTAGCTTCACTGGGCAGCCCCACTCAGATAGCTCCGACAAATGGCAGCGGGGCTGCTGGACTTTTTGCTGCGCCGCTCAGCAGCTCCATTCCAGGGTTCCTGGCCCCTCCGCCAGGCAGCTCAGCGGTCAGGCTCCTGGTCCTATGGGGCAGCTGCGCTGCCTCCCAGTCCCGCCAGGCAGCTGAGCTGCTTGGCAGTAGCGAGGCTGCTGGGATCCCGATTGTGCTGCCGGGAGGCCCCGTTGCCTCCCGGTCTCATGGGGCAGTTTCGCTGCTTGGCTCCAGCCTCTGTCAGCACCAGATGGCAGACCTACTGCAGGCTCCTGGTTTCGCTACCACAGGGAAGCCCTGCTACTGGGCTCTAGCCCCGCTCCCAGTCACCAGCCCTCCACCGGGACTCTCTGGTTCTAGGACATCTGTGGTCTGCCAGACCAGGGATGTTGCAAGACCCAAGAGTCCGGGTTAAGAGAGATTCAACCTGTACTACTAGATAAGAAGTTTATGTCTCTTGTTTCTAACTTTGATTCCCAAACACTCTCTTCAGGCCTCTTCTTTTCTCCACCAGAGATGGCACAGCTTATATAATCTAGGCTTATTTCCTCATGTGAAAACTCATTTAAGAAGAAGAAGAAAAAAAAAGCTTTTGTAGCTCTGCCAGTTATGAGCTGCAGGTGGCAGAACTATCTCAGCTAAGAAACTTTTCCCGCCACTTAAATGCTATGGAGCACAAAAGAGCTGCATTCATTTCACTCAATCAATGTTTTTTGCATTTTGAAGAGAATGCAGTGGGACTTTGGAGTAATGCAGTACTAGGTGGTAAGAGAGGGACCATAATCCGCAAGCCAGTATTTTTACAGCAAGAACCCCATTTAGTCAATATGTACCAGGCTGCCACCAACTCCAAAATTTTACCCAAAGCAGTAGGTTAGAGGGAGACTGCTTCTGTGTACAGCTTACAGCTTTCACCCCTCATTAGGAAAAGCTACTTTCATCATCACAGAAGATGAACTTACTAATATTCTCCAATATTTTCCATCTTTCTCCAACTGAGAACTTGTATCGGCCACTTGGAAACCTGAGAAAACTAGGAACAGTTGCCGCTCAGACAGATTTTGAAACTTCACCAAAGTGATACTCTCCCTCCAATTCAATCTGAGTATTGTTCACCAGTTTAGATTCAGACAGTGAAATTACACCTGTAATACACTATGCATTCTTCATAAGGTTCTGTGCTTTGTTTTAAGGCTCTTTCCTTCTCCTCAAAGGCTCTGATTTAATCACAAACAAAACTGAACATGCACATTTTTGCTTTAATTTTTAGAACAGACTGTCACATTCTAGCATGTTTGCAGTTTGCAACAGCACTTCTTGTATGTTTTATACAGAATGCTTTCCATTCCACTGAAGCAAGATTTCACCAAAAAAAACCCCAACCAATCAAACAAAAAACCTCCAATGTCAGGTAAGGCATATCCATTCAATCACTGTCTTTCTCAGAGGCCCATCAGTATCTTTACATATTGTTACTGATACACCTGGGAACATCTTGATGTCACTGTATAGAAACTATTATGTCACACGGAAGAACTAGCCCTGAAAACTTGACCTCTGTTGTGCCCTGTATAATAGCTCATGCAACATACTGAAACAGTGTCACCTTTCAGCAGCCTGAATATGGTGTACACTTAGGTGAGGTAGATAAAGGAAAGGGAGGGATTTGAATCACTTTAAACCTCTCTGCTGATGACTTCTCCAGAATTAATGTAACTATTTTTCTGTAGAACAGAATGAAAACAGTCCAGGAACATGCAACATATTGCTGCCTGGCTACGAAACCCATGGCTCAAAATAGTTTGTACTTTCTGAGTTCACATGCAAATATAGATTTTCACCTTAAAAATGGCCTTTAATGATTTCCATTACAAATTTTAGGCATAAATGAAAAAACATAGATTTTTCATGACTATAAATGTACTTTTTAATACTAATATTACCAGTGGTTTCATTATTTTTTAGTTTTCTCTAAGCACTTTCCAGGTTTGTCACCTCTACTCTGACACTCTTGAATCACTGTGTTTGAACAGGTCAGCTACAAGCTGATGAATATTACACCAAAATTAGTATTTTTATAGATTTCTGCTGCCACTAAACAGAACTAAGCTCAGCTCCTTAGTACCTAACTTTTGTTTTCTTCAGCACCCACAATAAATTCTCTGCACCATGGT